GGTTGACCAGTTTCCCTGTTCCTAGTTGCCTTTAGATGTTTGCAAGCACTTGTGCTTAGAAAATAGTTCTTCGACCAAGATTTCGTCAACCACCTGCACAACATGTCTACACAGGTGGTTGACCAGTTTCCCCTTTCCTCTGTTACGTTTCGATGTTAGCAGGTAGTTGTGCTTAATGTAGAGCTGTCTGACGAGGAATTCCCTTCCCATTTGCCCGATTTGTCTGCAAAGGTGGTTCGTCAGTTTCCCTGTTTCGAGTAGCCTTTAGATGTTTGCATGTACATGTGCTTAGTAGATAGTTCTTCGACCAAGATTTCGTAAGCCACCTGCCCGACATGTCTATATTGGTGGTTGATCAGTTTTCCCTTTCCCATGTTACCTTCCGATGTTTGCAGGTAGTTGTGTTTAATGTAGAGCTGTCTGATGAGGAATTCCCTTCCGACTTGCCCTATTTGTCTGCACAGGCGGTTGACCAGTTTCCCTGTTCCTAGTTGCCTTTAGATGTTTGCAAGCACTTGTGCTTAGAAAATAGTTCTTCGACCAAGATTTCGTCAACCACCTGCACAACATGTCTACACAGGTGGTTGACCAGTTTCCCCTTTCCTCTGTTACGTTTCGATGTTAGCAGGTAGTTGTGCTTAATGTAGAGCTGTCTGACGAGGAATTCCCTTCCCATTTGCCCGATTTGTCTGCAAAGGTGGTTCGTCAGTTTCCCTGTTTCGAGTAGCCTTTAGATGTTTGCATGTACATGTGCTTAGTAGATAGTTCTTCGACCAAGATTTCGTCAGCCACCTCCCCGACATGTCTACACAGGTGGTTGACCAGTTTCCCTGTTCCTAGTTGTCTTTGGATGTTTGCATGTACATGTGCTTGGTAAATAGTTTTTCGACCCAGACTTCGTCGACCACCTGCCCGACATGTCTACCCAGGTGGTTGGCTAGTTTCCCCCATCCTCTGTTTCCTTCCGATTTTTGCAGGTAGTTGTGTTTCATGTAGAGCTGTTTGACGACGATTTTTCAACCCACCTACCCGATTTGTCTACACAGGTGGTTGGCCAGTTTCCCTGTTCCTAATTGCCTTTAGATGTATGCATGTACAAGTGCTAGGTAGATAGTTCTTCGACCAAGATTTCGTCAGCCACCTGCCCGAGATGCCTACATAGGTGGTTGGCTAGTTTCCCCCATTCTCTGTTTCCTTCCGATGTTTGCAGGTAGTTCTGTTTAATGTACAGCTGTCTGACGACGATTTTCCAACCCACCTGCCCGATTTGTCTACACAGGTGGTTAGCTAGTTTCCCTGTTCCTAATTGCCTTTAGATGTATGCATGTACAAGTGCTAGGTAGATAGTTCTTCGACCAAGATTTCGTCGGCCAGCTGCCCGAGATGTCTACATAGGTGGTTGGCTAGTTTCCCCCATTCTCTGTTTCCTTCCGATGTTTGCAGGTAGTTCTGTTTAATGTACAGCTGTCTGACGACGATTTTCCAACCCACCTGCCCGATTTGTCTATACTAGAGGTTGGCCAGTTTCCCCCTTTCTCTGTTACGTTCCGATGTTTGCAGGTAGTTGTGTTTAATGTAGAGCTGTCTGACGAAAATTTCCCTCCCCTCCTGCCCGATTTGTCTATACTAGAGGTTGGCCAGTTTCCCTGTTCCTAGTTGCCTTTAGATGTTTGCATGTACATCTGCTTAGTAGATAGTTCTTCGACCAGGATTTCGTCAGCCACCTGCTCACCATGTCTACACAGGTGGTTGACTAGTTTCCCTGTTCCTAGTTGCCTTTGGATGTTTGCATGTATATGTGCTTAGTAGATAGTTTTCGACCATGACTTCGTCAACCACCTGCTCGACATGTCTACACAGGTGGCTGACCAGTTTCCCCCTTCCTCTGTTACCTTCCGATATTTGCAGATAGTTGTGTTTAATGTAGAGCTGTCTGATGAGGATTTCCCTACCCACCTGTTCCACATGTCTACACAGGTGGTTGACCAGTTTCCCTGTTCCTAGTTGCCTTTGGATGTTTGCAAGTACATGTGCTTAGTAGATAGGTTTTCGACCAACACTTCGTAAGCCATCTACCCGACATGTCTACATAGGTGGTTGGCCAGTTTCCCCCTTTATCTATTGCCTTCCGAAGTTTGTAGGAAGTTGTTTTTAAGGTAGAGCTGTCTGACGAGGATTTTCCTACCCATCTGCCCGAGATGTCTACACAGGTGGTTGCCCAGTTTCCTTGTTCCTGGTTGCCTTTAGATATTCGCATGTCCATGCGCTTACTAGATAGTTCTTCGACCAAGATTTTGTCCGCCACCTGCCCGACATGTCTACAAGGGTGGTTGACCATTTTCCGCTTTCCTCTGTTACTTTAAGATGTTAGCAGGTAGTTGTGTTTATTGTCGAGCTGTCTAACGAGGAATTAAATTCCCACCTGCCCGATTTGTCTACATAGGTGGTTCGCCAGTTTCCCTGTTCCTAGTTGCCTTTAGATGTTTGCATGCACATGTGCTTAGTGGATAGTTCTTCGACCATGTTTTCGTCAGCCACCTGCCCGAAATGTCTACATAGGTGGTTGACCAGTTTCCCCTTTCCTCTGTTTCGTTCCGATGTTTGCAGGTAGTTGTGTTTAATGTAGAGCTGTCTGACGAGGAATTCATTTCCCACCTGCGCGATTTGTCTGCACAGGTGGTTCGCCAGTTTCCCTGTTCCTAGTTGCCTTTTGATGTTTGCATGTACATGTGTTTAGTAGATAGTTCTTCGACCAAGATTTCGTCAGCCACCTGCCCGACATGTCTACACAGGTGGTTGACCAGTTTCCCTGTTCCAAGTGGGCTTTGGATGTTTGCATGTACATGTGCTTAGTAGATAGTTTTTCGACGAAGACTTCGTCAACCACTTGCCCAACATGTCTACATAGGTGGTTGGCCAGTTTTCCCCTTCCTCTGTTACGTTCCGATGTTTGCAGATAGTTGTGTTTCATGTAGAGCCGTCGGCCAAGGATTTCCATACCCACCTGCCCGATTTGTCTACACAGGTGGTTGGCCAATTTTCCTGTTCCTAGTTACCTTTAGGAGTTTGCGCTTACATTTGCTTAGTAGATTGTATTTCGAACAAGATTTCGTCAGCCATCTACCCGACATGTCTACGTAGGTGTTTGGCCAGTTTCCCCCTTCATCTATTGCCTTCCGAAGTTTATAGGTAGTTGTTTTTAATGTAGAGCTGTCTGACGAGGATATTCCTACACACCTGCTCGATTTGTCTGCACAGGTAGTCGGCCAATTTTCTTGTTCCTGGTTTCCTTTAGATGGTCGTATGTACATGTGCTTACTAGATAGTTCTTCGACTAAGATTTCGTCTGCCACCTGCCCGACATGTCTACACAGGTGGTTGGCCAGTTTCCCCCGTCCTCTGTTACCTTCCGATGTTTGCACGTAGTTGTGTTAAATGAAGAGCTGTCCGACGAGGACTTCCCTACCCACTTGCCCGATTTGTCTACATAGGTGGTTCGCCAGTTTTCCTGTTCCTAGTTGCCTTTTGGATGTTTGCATGTACATGTGCTTAGTAGATAGTTTTTCGACGAAGACTTCGTCAACCACTTGCCCAACATGTCTACATAGGTGGTTGGCCAGTTTTCCCCTTCCTCTGTTACGTTCCGATGTTTGCAGATAGTTGTGTTTCATGTAGAGCCGTCGGCCAAGGATTTCCATACCCACCTGCCCGATTTGTCTACACAGGTGGTTGGCCAATTTTCCTGTTCCTAGTTACCTTTAGGAGTTTGCGCTTACATTTGCTTAGTAGATTGTATTTCGAACAAGATTTCGTCAGCCATCTACCCGACATGTCTACGTAGGTGTTTGGCCAGTTTCCCCCTTCATCTATTGCCTTCCGAAGTTTATAGGTAGTTGTTTTTAATGTAGAGCTGTCTGACGAGGATATTCCTACACACCTGCTCGATTTGTCTGCACAGGTAGTCGGCCAATTTTCTTGTTCCTGGTTTCCTTTAGATGGTCGTATGTACATGTGCTTACTAGATAGTTCTTCGACTAAGATTTCGTCTGCCACCTGCCCGACATGTCTACACAGGTGGTTGACCAGTTTCCCTGTTCCAAGTTGGCTTTGGATGTTTGCATGTACATGTGCTTAGTAGACAGTTCTTCGACCACGATTTCGTCAACCACCTGCCCGACATGTCTACACAGGTGGTTCAGCTGTTTCCCTCTACTGCTATTGCCTTCCGACTTTTGCAGGTAGTTGTGTTTAATGTAGAGCTTTCTGACGAGGAATTCCCTTCCTACCTGCCTGATTTGTCTACACAGGTGGTTGGCTAGTTTTCCTGTTCCTAGTTGCCTTTAGATGTTCGCATGTACATGTGCTTAGTAGATAGTTCTTTGACCAAGATTTCCTCACCCTCTTGCTCGGCATGTCTGCACAGGTGGTTTCCCTGTTCCTAGTTGCCTTTAGATGTTTGCATGCACATGTGCTTCGTAGATAGTTCTTCGACCAAGATTTCGTCAGC